AGGGAGGATTTGAACTCGTCTTCCTGACTTTGTGTCCCACTCTATCAATTGGGCCACTTAGCATCCTGTAATCCTATCCTTGTACATAGGAATCTATCTTCGGTCTCTGTGTCTTTGTATTAATCAACTGTTCCCTATCTCTGAAATGATCTTCCTCTTCACCTCTGCCTTTTAGAATCTCTAGCTCCCACAAGAGTCAACTCAACTGCCCCCTCATGCTCCCAGCTGCTGGTGCTTTCCCCTTTTAAATGACCTTGCATTTACTTTCTATGTACTTTGTCTTCACTTAAATGCGTATATATTATCTCCACTAGAGAATGAAAGCTCTTTAAGAGCAGAGAATGTTGTGTTTTGGGCTTTGCGGTCCATAGCAGGCACTTGGTAGGTGTTTTATCAGAGGCTTGTTTATTGATTGGTTGAATTTAGTCTGGGCTTTCACAGTCCTAACACATTCTTTATAGGACTGTGCTAGCCTTCTGCAATTACCCTCACTTATCTGACCTTGTTTCCATCTTCTATACATGTCTTTTTAATATAAAATTTTAATATTTATCCATGAAAAGCATGTCAGTCCTTTAGGCAATCCCTTTTTCCCCTCCTTATGATAATCATTTTTGTTTTGCCTTAAGAATTTGATTCTTTGGCCAATTTTCCGCTCAAAAGATTAAGCCTTTGGAACTTTGCACAATCACAGGATTTGAGGCTGCCCATTCCACTTTCAGATAGCTTTAATTGGTAGTAAGTTGTTTTTTTCCCCCTGACAATGAAGCCTAAATTGACCTCTTAGCTATATATCTTTTTCTACTTCTATTGATTCTCAACCAAATGCTTTCCACCGTGTCCTTCCCTTTAGGTTTCTTTATTTCTTCAATTGAATTAACATTCTTAATATACAATGCTATTCCTTACGTGTACCCCAACCTCCTTTATCTATTATTGTTCTTTTGAATAAGTCATACCCTTCCAGACTCAAATTCCAACAATGAGTTCCATTTTACCATGTCTCAATGGTACCTATGAAGTCAAATTACAGTCGCTAGTTCAATTATGTTCCTCGGCTTCACTTCTTGGCTACTGTTGCTTCTTTCAAGACAGCTCAAATCTCACTTTCTACAAAAAGCCTTTCCCAGTCCTTCCTCCCACCCCCAACCCAGTACCTCCCTTCTGAGACGACCTGTGTATATCTTGCATGTACATAGTTGTTTTGTATATTTTCTCTTCCACTAGATCGTTGAGTTTCCTGAGAACAGGGACTGTCTTTTGCCTCTCTGCATCTCCAGCACTTAGCAGAGTACCCGTCATAAGTAAGCACTTAATGCTTGCTTGTTGCTGTTCAGGTTTATTACCAATAATTTGTGCATTTGTTAATAGGCAATTAAGATTTTATTGCTAAGTTTTTTTTCCCATGGATATTGCCTTCCATCAATTACTGGTCCCGTCTTATTCTTTCTCATATGGGTTACCTGCTTTTCTTTGTTGGGCCGAGGTAGTCAGTTTTCTGCTTTCTGCTCCTTATTCAGTCTTAACTTCACTCTTGACTCGATTTCCCCAGTCTCTAAGCAAACTTGTTTATATTGGTCCTTGTTAGGTGTGTTCGATTTCTTGCCAAGAGCTTATCATCCTTATATAAGACAGAAATCCAAATGCTAATATCCAAGATCACCTTCTTAGTCAGCTGTCCACCATACCTTTCTTTTTCTGAATCCCCTGTCTTCAAATAGCAGTAGTATGGAAAATACCACTCATGTTCTTAAGGTCTTCAGGTATTGGGTGTTACCCCTTCCTTCTCCATCTCTTTGGATTTTATGATCCTTAGCAATGCTTTCTAGATTTTTTCTGGTGCTATCTCCCTACCCCCACCCCCTTGTAAATCATCCAATTTGGATCATGGTGGTCAGGCTTGGCAGTTTGCAGGATGGTCTCCATCACATACCAGATACATGCTTAGGATGACAAAGGTCCTCTTTGTGGCTTATGTTATGTTGACAAATAGTTACCTCACTATTTTTAAGTAAGTTATTCATCACTTCTCTTCTTTCACCTTGTGGGATCAGATGCCATCTAGGGATATAGATTTTCTTTCTTTGAGTTACTTTAGACAAAGACAGTCCCACTCTTCTTTCCATGGTAGGGATTCTTAACCCAAGGTCCATGAAACCCCAAGGGATCCATGTGTAAATTTCAAGGGGAGGGGGCATGAACTTGAATGGGAAAAGTGTTTACCTTTATCTTCACTGATCTTTAACTGAAATTTAGCTTTTCCTTCAATTATTTACAAACATTACTCTGAGAAAATGTCCAAAGGCATCATCAGATATCCAAAGGAGTCTATAGCACAAAAAGGGTTAAGAACCAACCCCTGCTCTGCAGGTAGGACCACAGACATATTACTTAGCTCCAGATGTTCCATAGCCTTTCTTCCTTTTCTTCTATATACCACAGTCTCCAAACCTCCAACCTCTTCACCCAAATGAGACTTCTCTTTTACGGCTCCCCATTCCTTTTCTTACTTGCTGCTTCCTTGATGATAATCTAATCTTTCAAGGAGTGTTTCATTCTCCCTGATGACCCTGAGAGTAAAAAATACATTCTTCCAGGCCTCCCACCTCCTCATATTGGAAGGAGATCGATTTATCTTTTGAGTATATGTAACAGGGTTTTGACAATTGACTGCACCCTGAGATTTGTAATTCCAAGAGACAAACATTTCCTCCTCAGCCTTGAGATCAGTATGGAACTACTGAGGTCTTTGAACCTTAAGGTAAAATTGAGTCATGTTCTGTAAATATACACATATGGTCTGAGAGAGATTGAGTGAGAAGGGGGGGCTGCAAGAGCTGAGCTGGAGGAAATTGTCAACATTTGGGCAACAGGTCAAAGGAGAAAGAAAAAAAAAAGGACGAAGCAGTGAATTGAGAGGGGCCATCTTGGAGCTAAAGATTTGACCTGAAGCTACTGTGAGAGTTTCAAGATAGACCTGCTTTCCCCCCAACTTTTCTTCCCAATGCCTGTCTATTAACATGTTGTTGTTGTTCAATTGTTTCGGTCATATCTGACTCTTCAGAACCCCATTTGGGGTTTCCTTGGCAAAGATACTGGAGTGGTTTGCCATTTCCTTCTCATTTTACAGATGAGGAAATGGAAACAGACAGGATTAAGTGAATTTGCCCAGGGTCACACAGCTAGGAAGTGTCTGAGACCAGATTTGAACTCAGGAATAGGAGTCTTCCTGATTCCAGGCCTGGCACTCTATCCACCACACCACCACTGTAACATACTCGATTAATTTCTTTTGATTTCTTTTTTATAGTATTTTATTTTCCCAATTACATGTAAAGACAATTTTTAACATTCTTTTTTTTTAAATTTTGAGTCACGAATTTTCTCCCTCCCTCATCTATTAATTTCTTTATCCCACTGTTTCTGGAATCTGAATCTTTACTTCAACCATAACAGTGCTAGGGATTATTTAGAGATTAACATAAATTCAAATCAATGAAGAGAACCAAACCTCTGCCTAAGATTAGGAATTTTCCCGAGTAGGTGCGATGAGCTATTGGGATTATACCCTTAAGTTTTCATTTAATATAGACTACTTAAAGTGGCAGAGGAAGGGACCACATGGACCTGGGGGCCATCGTATTACCTTTAGGCTAAGAAACAAGTTGATGGCTGGTAGTAGGGTACAGCCAACTGCATCCCCAGAGACAAAAGGCTTATCTGACTTTTCTTTGTTAGGCAATGTGGTATAGTGGATCAAGCACTAGACATAAAGTTTGGAAGACCTGAATTCAAATCCTGCCTCAGACATTAACTCCTTGTGTGATGCTGAGAAAGTCACTTGGCCCACTCAGTCCCTATAAAATGAGGAGAATAATAGCATCTACCTCACTGAGTCCTTGGGAGACTCCAGTAAGATGACATTTGGAAAGTGCTTGTAAATCTTAAAGAATGATACCAGAGAGAACAATTTAAAGGCTAGCTTCCCTTTACTTGCATGTATCTTGTATGTTCTGATTTATGTATATTGTCTTCTCTATTAGAATGTAAGCTCCTTGAGGTCAGGGACTATCTTTTGCCTTTGTTTGTATCCACAGGGCTCAACTTAGTGCCTGGCACATAGTAGGTGCTTAATAAATTCTTGCCAACTCCTTTGTATTCCCAGTGTTCAGCACAGTGCCTGGCACGTAGCAGGTGCTTAATAAATACTTGTTGATTGATTGTTAAAAGGAAGGGGTCAATTCTTTGATGATGGGAAAAACAGAATATCCAGCACTGATAGTGATATAAAAATTTTCAAAATAAGCAAATTGATAATTATCCAGGAACATAGATAATGAAACTTACCTTTTTTTTTTCAGCAGAGAAAAGGGGACCTACCAGGAGAGAGTCCTGCATACATTTCCTGGATGTGGTCACTTAGTTATTTGTCTTAACAAGGACAAGTTAAAGCTTCTGAGCAGCTAGATGCTGCAGGAGATAGAGCATGGGGCTTGGAGTCAGGAAGAACTGAGTTCAAATTCTGCCTCAGATGCATAGTAGCTGTGTGTCCTCAGGCAAGTCACCTTGCCTCAGTTTCCTCATCTGTAAAATGGGAGGTTACTATGTGTCTGTCCCCTGGCAAGTCACTTTGCCTCAGTTTCCTCATCTGTAATATGGGAGGTCACTTTGCCTCAGTTTCCCCCTCTGTAAAAGGAGAATAATAATAGCACCTGGGAAGCTCCCGGGGTTGTTGTGTGAATCAAATGAGATGATTTATAAAGCATTGGAACCATGGTAAGTGCTATATAAACGTTAGCTATAATTGTTATTAAAAATGAGGGTTCAAGCATGTGGTGTATGTGGTAGGAGAAGGGGACAATAATCAGAGCTATCTAGGAAACAAAAGCAAAGGCAATCACCAAAACTTACTCTCTACAAGATAAAATGAAGAGAGCAGATCAGCTGTTTTCTATCCTTGCCCGCTCTAAGTGGCCTCAAACTGTGATTCTAAATTGCAGATCCCAGGAGAAGGGGAGAGATGCCACAGACACGCAGCCATTATGCATGGTGAGTAGCAGAGCTGGGATTCCAGATTTCTTTTCACTGCACATCAATGACAAAGGCGAGGGTTACATCAAACATCTTCAGGGAACGTTCCAGAGACCGACTGGGCTGGGGCAGAGGGCTCGTTTCAGGGAGCTTCAGTGGATAGAACTGCAGAGACAGCATGGGGAGAGCCTTGACTGTCTCGCTGGGGAAGGTGAGACCCGAATGATTCCATGAGAGATTACAAGAGACTGAGGATGTGCATCCTCCTTCATCCCCATGACTCAGGGTTGGCGCTTTAAGATTTGAACGCGAGACAAAGCAGAAGAAAAATCTTTGCCCGCCAGGTGAATGCTGACTGCGTGCAATCTGTTCTCAACTCCCTGACAAGCTTTGTCATAATATTGATAGAATGATTAAGCTTCCTCCTGAACAGACTTCAGGTCCTAAATAATGCTCACATTAAGGACGTGTGGAAGAATGCTGGGAACTTCACACGCCCCAGCATTTCATTAGCACCATTAACAGAGGCTCAATGAATAGTAGGGCAATGGGCACTCAGAGAGATCAATCAGTCAATCAGTAAGCATTGATAAAGCACCTACTATGGGTCAGGCACTGGAAAAACAAAGATAAAAATAAAACAGTCCCTGCCCTCAAGGTGCATACGTTTTATAGAGGGAGACAACATGCACATATATGGGCAGTCAGTACACCGTGAGTACAACTCACTCTCCCAGAGTAAAGCAGACTATGTCTTTCTCTCAGGAAGTGGTGGATAGGCTTGGAGTCAGGAAGACCTGAGTTCAAATTCTTTCTCAGATACTTACTAGCTGTGTGACCCTGAGTAAGTGACTTAACCTCTGTTTGCCTCAGTTTCCTCATCTGTAAAATGGGAATAATAATAGCGCCTATCTCCTGGGATTGTCATGAGAATCAAATGAGATTATAATTGTAAAGCACTTAGCAGAGTGCCTGGCACGTAGAAAGTGCTCTATAAATGTTAACTCTCTCTGTGTGTGTATATAATATTTATTTACATACATATATACACATATATTTCACATTTTAAAGCATTTCTTAAGACAAAGTTAGAATATACATATTCTTATTCCCATTTTACAGATGTGGAAACTGAGGTTCAGATGAAATAATTTTCCATTAATAATGAGACCATCAAATGTCAGAGCTGGGATCTGTACCTCACTTTCTCCTGCTTTAGATTTTTTTATAGGGCCATACTGAATCCCTCTTAGATGGATGGATGGATGGATGGATGGATGGATAAGATGTATGTATGTATGTATGGATGGATGGATGGACGGATACATGAATCAGTGTTCCACTTACCTTGCTAAGGTCACAGATTTAGAGCTGGAAGAGAATTTAGAGCTATTCCAATCTAATCACTTCTTTTCATAGACTAGGAAACTGAGGCCCAGCCATAGTAAGAGACTTGCCAAAGGAGAGACCCTGACACCCTTAGTGTACTGAATACCTCTGAAGGAGAGGAACCTACAACATATATTTAGAGTCACTCACAGGAGCTAAATAGTAGGGTCACAATTTGAGTCTGGGTCCTCTAATTTGAAATACAGAAATCATATTAAAGAAAAATCATAGAACCATGGATTTACAGAGGGAAGGGACCTTAAAGGCAGTCCAGACCAACCCGTCATTTTACAGATGAGGAAACTGAGGCACAGAGAGTTTAAATGGCTTTCTCTAGAATCACACAGCTAGGGAGTATCTGAGGCAGGACTTGAACTCAGGTCTTCTTGACTCTAATTCCAGAACTTGGAGAACAGTTCTGAGCTGGAGCTAGTTATTCAAATCCAGACAATGCCCATGAAAATAATAATAATAGGGTGCTACGTGCCAGACATTGTACTAAGCTCTTTCTATAATTATTATCTCATTTGATCCTCATAACAGCCGTGGTGCTATTATTATCCCCATTTTACAGATGAAGAAACCGAGGTAAAAGTGTTAAGTGAGTTGTCCAGGGTCACACAGCTAGTCAGTGTCTGAGGCTAGATTTGAACTCAAGTGTTCCTGACTCCAGGCCTGGCGTTTTATCCACTGCACCACCTAGTTGCATAGAAAGAGAAGAGAAGAAACAAGTTAATTTTGAGGTTCCCCAGAGATTCCAGTCAGTTAAGAGATAGAATCCCTGAAATTGCTTTGGTATCTTTGTAGTGGGGAAAGAAAGGAAGAGCCAGGAGTGAAGGCTGATTATTCAGAGAGAATCAGAACCTGGATTAAGCCCCAGGAAATGGGCACATCTTGGAGAGGCATCAGGAGGCAAATGCTTCATTTGTTGATGGACTTCTCACTCTGAAGTCAGAGCTCAACTTCGTGCCCCCTCCTCTCCCGCCTGTGGAGAGGCCATCACTTTCCTCTGCCAAAGGACACGTCTTCCCATAGTCAGTGGAGTTCTGCATCCTCCGTCAACCGAGGCAGGCCCAGTATGGTGCGGCTGAGCCCCCTTGGGGAACCCAGCTCCTTGGACCTCTGGAACATGTGCAGAAAAGGAGAGAAAGCTGGTGCCCTTCCAGGTCTATCTCCTTTCATGGACATTGGTTGGAGCAAGAACTTTGTGTCCCTCCCCACCCCCCCCAGACACAGACACACACACTCAGTCAGACACACACACACACATATTCAGACACACACACACTCAGACACACACAGTCAGACACACACACTCAGTCAGACACACTCACACTCAGACACACACACTCACTCAGACTCACATGCACACACACACACAAGTGATTGGGTGACAAACACTTTTAGTTTAGTAAATGAAGGCTGCAGATGAAGCTGCTGGGGCCTGCTTCTGTGTTTCTGCTGGCATGTCGGGGAGGCCTTTGCCAAGTCAGTAAATACTTGTGGCTGGTTTTATTTCTTTTTTAAGTGTAGAAGGGTTTGTTTCCCTCTCTCTCCCTCCCTGCCCTCCATGTATCAGATACCTCCCAGTGGGGAAGCTGGGAGTGCTCACAGAGTGAGACACCGCTGTAGTGAAATCATCTCTGGCTCATTGGTGGGGGCAGAGATAGTACCAGTGTAGACAAGAATAGGTGATAGGAATATGGGGTGAGAATCAAGAAAAATGAAGAGAAATACATCTCCCATTAGTCCAGATCACTGCCTAAAATGCCACCATTAGGGTCACTCCTGTTTATATGCCCAGAGCTTAAAACTAACCAGTGCTATAAAACTAGGCAGTACACTGTATAAAGTGCCCAGCCTGGAGTCAGGAAGACATGAGTTCAAATTCAGCCTCAGACACTTACTAGCTGTGTGACCCTAGGCAAGTCACTTCACCCTGTTCACCTCAGTTTTCTCATCTGTAAAATGAGCTGGAGAAGGAAATGGCAAACCACTCCAGCATCTCTGCCAAGAAAACTCCAAATGAGGTCATGAAGAGTCTGAAATGACTGAAACAACTGAACAAGTGTAAAACTCTTTGGAAGAGGTCTGTGAAAAGGGGTGACGTCCACAGAAGCACTCATCTTCTGCTCTTCTCACTCAGCACTAGCTGGCTTTCTGTTGTCTTCCCTATGAGACTGTAGGCTCCCTGAGGGTAGAACTATGTCAAACAAATTTGAGTGCCCATTTCCTCTTGACTTTGGTCCCCCCTCATTCACCGAGGAGTCAACAAAAACAAAGAGACAAAGATGGGAAGTGATGGAGGTTCAAGGACCCAAGGAACTTTAATGCAAGGAGAGACAGAGGGACAGAGGAGGGAAGATGGCGCACGGGGCAGGGAGAGTCTTGTTTCATGTCTGGCCTGCTCTTATCCACACTCCACGGTTTCACTGGAGATGAACAAGGGAGAAGAAGGCTTTAAAATCCTCTGCAGCCCAGTGATCTTGAAGTGAGTCCATCAATACGCATTTGTTAAGTGCCTACTATGTTCCAGGCGCTGCGCTAAGTGCTGAAGATACAGACAAAGGCAAAAGAATCCCTGCCCTTGAGCCCACAGTCAAATGGGGGAGAAAACGTGTAGACAGTTATGTACAAACAGGCTACATCCATGATAAATCGGGAGTGATCAATAGAGGGAAAACACTAGAATTAAGAGGGGGGTGGGAGATGCATCCTGGAGAAGGTGGGAATCAATTGAAGACAGCGGAGGAAATTTCTGCCTAAGGGGCTCCATGTGAAGGCTGCTGCATCTCCCCCTCCCACCCCCAATTTGGTGGTAGCCCTTCTGTAGGCTGTGAATGGGAACTTCGCTTCATTGCACACTCCCAGAATGGGACGAACAACCAAGGGGCAAATTGGGAGGGGACAATTGCACAATTTCTTTCCTAAAACTCCTGGGCTTGAGATTGCCTGTATTCTGGTTGGGGTGACCTGGGTTTCGGGGAGAAGCAAAACTGTGAGTGTACGACCACCCTATCGTCTTCAAACATATTTCTGATTTTCTCCCTTTTCCTTGATTCTCCGCTTATGAACACAGATGCTGCTGAAATGCTTGTCCAGTGTCTTCTGTGGTGTAGACAATTACAGCAGAGTCACATGACTGGAGCTTTGTGAAACAGAGCAGATTCAGGGAGGAGGGGGTTGGGTTTCCCAGTGGGATGAAGATTTGGACTTGTTTGGACTGGGTAAATTCATACTTAGTGCACACTTTACGCTGATGGTGCAAGCATGAACATCTAATAACAGGTGGAGCTGGTCAGTCAAAAAGCATTTGTTAAATGCTTAATATATGCCAGGCACTGGGCCAGATGCTGAGAATACAGGCATACCTCAGAGATGTTGTGAGTTCGGTTCCAGACCATCCCAATAAAGCAAATATCCCAATAAAAAGGGTCACACGAATTTTTTGGTTTCCCAGTGCATATAAAAGTTATGTTTATGCTATAATCTATCAAGTGTGCAATAGTATTGTGTCTAAAAAAATGCATATAACTTAATTAAAAATGCTTTATTGCTAAAAAAATGCTAACCATCATTTGAGCCTTCAGTGAGTCGTAAGCTTTTTGCTGGCTGAGGGTCTTGCTTCGATGCTGACGGCTGCTGACTGATGAGGGTGGTGGCTGCTGAAGGTTGGGATGGCTGTGGCAATTTCTTAAAATAAGACAACAATGAAATTTGCCTCATCGATTGACTCTTCCTTTCACTTGGACGCTTAGGGGCCATTGTAGGGTTATTAATTGGCCTAATTTCAATATTTTTGTGTCTCAGGGAATAGAGAGGCCTAAGGAGAAGGAGAAAGGCAGATGAGTGGAGCAGTCAGAACACACACAACATTTATTGATTAAGTTCACCATCTTAGATGGGCTTGGTTGGTAGTGCCTCAAGATAATTGCAATAGTAACATCAAAGATCGCTGATCACAGATCACCATAACAGATAAAATTAGAATGAAAAAGTTCGAAATCATGCCAGAATTACCAAAATGTGACCCAGACACACGATGTGAGCACAAGCTGTTGGGAAAATGGCGCTGACAGACTTGTCTGACGCGGGGATACCACAAACCTTCAAATTGGGAAAACCACATTGTCTGCAAAGCGCTATAAAGTGCAACACAATAAAGCAAGGTATACCTGTATAAAGAAAGGTGATAATCAGCTTCTACCCTGAAGGAGCTCACATTCTAATGAGAAGACAATCTACAAAATAACTGTCTTTACATGAGGAATGAACGGTGAAAATAGAAAATGATGTCAGGAGAAGGTGGTTAGAAAGGCCTCCTTCAAAAGGCGATATTTGAGAGGAAGTCTGGGGGGAGTTAGGGAAATAAAGAGGGGGAAATAAGGATGGAAGGCATCCCAGGGATGGTAGACAGCCAAGGCAAAGGTATGGAATTGGAAGATTGAGTGTTGCATAGGAATTACTTATGTATGAAGTGTTATGTATGTAAGCAGGCCTTTATAGCTGGATAAAGAATAAGAGAATGAAGCATAAGATAGTAGAAAATAAAGTGTTAGAAGACAGGAAAGGTATGAAGGCCCCAGGTTGTGAAGAGCTTTAAATGACATGACAATAGCAAACTCAATGAGAGTCAATAGCGTTATATGGCAACTTGAGTCTGCTAATAAAGTTACAGGCTTCATTAATTGAAGTCTAATGCATAAGATTAGGAAGATGATGGTATTATAGTCAGACCCCATCTCTGCATGAGAAGAGGCTGACTCTGTTGAGTGCTGAGTACCACTTAAAAATGGTACATTAAGAAGGTAGGTGGTGTGGATCAGTAGAAAGGGTGACCAGTTTGGAGTCAAAAGAGTATTTATATTACTCTAGAGAGTCTCCAAAAGAAGGCAACCAGGATGGTGAAAAGCCTGGAGTCCATGTTATGTGAAGAATGATCGAAGGGACTAGGGATGTTTACCTTGGAGAAGAGAAAATTTGTTGGGAGCGGACATCATAAGCATGTAAATGGAAGAAGCATCAGGCTTGCTCTGCTTGGACCCACTGGACAGAGCTAGGAGCAATGGTGTTAAGTTCCAAAGAGGCAAATTTAGCCTTGATATTAGAAAAAACTTCTAATGAGGAGAGCTGTCCCACAGTGGAATTGGCTGCCTTACTAGTTGGGTGGGGGTTTCCCATCTCTATTCAAGCAGAGACTGGATAACTCCTTGTTGGGTGTATAGTAGATAAGACTCTTGTTTGGGTGGAGATTGGAGAAGATGGCTTTTGAGATTTCTTCCAATGCTGCCATTTTGTGATTCTGCAGGCTGAAGAGATTTTCAAAGCTGTGCTGGATCCCCCAGTGCAGCTGAGGCTTCCTTAGGTTACAAGGGAGAGCTTAGGTGTTTCTGCAGTCAATCAACTAGAATTTATTAATTGCCCGCTATTGTGCCAGGCACTGTGCTGAGTGCCGGAGATACGAAGGAAGGCAAAAGACAGCCCCTGCTCTCAAGGAGTTCACAGTCTAATGGGGGAGATAATATGGGCAAACAAGATATATACAAATTAAATTGGAAGTAATCAACAGAGGGAAGCCACTAGAATTAAGGGGATCAGGAAAGGCTTCTTGCAGAAGGTGGGATTTTATGTGAGACTTGAAGGAGACCAGGAGGTGAAGATGATGAGGGAAAGTTCCAGGCATGAGGGACAGACAGTGAAAATGCCTGGAGTCTGGAGATGACGTGTTGAATGTGAAGAACAGCATGGAGGCCAGTGTCACTGAAGAGAAGAGTACAGGGTGGGGATGGAGAGGTGGGAAGGGGAGGTTAAGGTATAAGAAGACTGGAAAGGAATGGTATGGAGTGCTTCATAAGCCACCCTAGTTTGGACAGCCCTGGGAGGAAAGCTCATCCTCCCAGCCATCACTAGGTGGCAGCATCGCTGAGAATTCCTTCTGCTAAGCTTAAGCACTGGCAATCTCAAAACCTGCCCTGGAATGATCCACATTGGCATGGGTTTGTCACATGAAATCTCCTCCAATGAACGCATGGGGTCATACCTGAAATTCCAACTGTTTAACAGGAATCTTCAGCAAGGAAACCTCCTAAGAAGCCTTCACCTTCCCCCACAGAGAGGGAGAGAGAGGAGGCATCATCCACCTCCGAGCACTGACGTTTCCTATTGAAGCTTTCCTTTTGCATTTTCATTATTGCCTAGTTCCTGAAAGGGACCCTCTCTCAGGCATTCCACCAGTCTACACTTTGAGGTTTTTTGTTTTGGCAATTGGAGTTAAGTGACTTGCCCAGGGTCACACATCTAGTGTCAAGTGTTTGATCTGAGGCCGGATTTGAACTCAGGTCCTCTTGATTTCAGGGCTGGTGCTCTATCCACTGCACCAATTTTATTCCTGCCTCATTGATTGGTGGGTTCATTTTTACCCTATCTACCAACAATTTCAGAGGGACAAGGTGGTATAATGTATTGAGGACTGATCTAAGAGTCAAGAAGTGTGGTGCTTGGGAAAGATTGACAAATTTGGGACCCTAAGGTCTGGGTTCATGTCTCAGCTATGCTGTATGCTACCTGTGTGACCTTCGGTAAATCACTTTACATCTTTAATGTCTCAGTTTCCTTATCTGTAAAATGAAAGATTTGAACTAAATGACTTTTTTAAGATTTACAATGGAAAGAGCATTGGATATAGAAACTTCCAGAACATCTTCAAAATAGCCACGATTCCCATCTCTGTACTCCTCAATTTGGACTCTACTCCTGGAAGGCAGGGCTCTGACAGGTGAGATTTCCCCTGCACCAGGCTTCCACATCACTGCCCCCATAGTCCCCACACCACACCACCTTTACCTTCTCCATTTCTAGCTCCCTTTCACACATTGTCTTCCCCTGTTAGAATGTAATCTTCTTGAGGACAGGGACTGTGTTGTTTGCTATTTTGTGTATGCTCAGCACTTTGTACTGTGCCAGTTCTTCTACTTAATAAATGCTTTATTTATTTATCTGAAGACCTGAGTTCAAATACTAGCTTGCTATTTACTACCTGTGTGAGCTCAGGCAAGTCATTTTGTTTCTCTGGGCCTCAGTTTCCTCATCTGTAAAATGAAGAGTTTGGATTCTATGGCATCGAAGATCTGCTGTGAAAAGAACACTGAATTCACAGACTAATGACTTGAGTTCAAATCCCACCTCTGTGCTGCTTACTGCCTACATGGCTTTGAGCCAATCATTCCTTTTCTCTAGGGTCTCAGTTTCCTTATTTGCAAAAATTAAGAGAGTTGGATCAGATTATCTCTGAAATCCCTAACAGCTTTAAATCAATGTTCCTGCCACCTTGGTTCTAAATGTTCAGTTGTGTCCAATTCTTTGTGACCCCATTTGGGGTTTTCTTGGCAAAGATACTGGAGTGGTTTGCCAGTTCCTTCTGAGGCTCATTTTACAGATGAGGAAACTGAGGCAAAAAGGGTGAAGTGACTTGCTCAGGGTCACACAGCTAATAAGTGTCTGAGGCTAGATCTGAACTCAGGAAGATGAGTCTTCCTGACTCCAGACCTGGCACTATTCTGCCACCTAGAATTTCGGCCACAACTTATCATCTATGTGGCTGTGGGTACTTCACTCAGCATCCCCACTGAGAACACAGAGGAACAAGATAAGGAGGGCAGTGTTAGGGAACCTCAGGAAAGCTGACTTTGGGGATGGAAGGGCAGGGTAAGGGAAGATTAAGTAGCTCCTAGCATTAACTAGGAGCTGGTAATTTCTGATATGAAAATGGTTTGGTAGAGAAAGATAGCTTCAGTGCTCTCTGCAGTTTGTCTGAGACTCAGGGAAGTTAAGTTGAAAGTCAAGTTCATGCTTGGAATCATAGGTCTAGAACTGGAAGACACTACCACGGAGACCAGTTTGCCCAGTCTTCTTTTTACAGATGAGGAAACTGAGGCCCCAGGAAGTTAAAGTATTTTACCCAAGGTCACACAAGTGGCAAGCTGGCAGAGGAAGGATTTCAACTTAGAACTCAGGTCTTCTGACTCCATAGGTAGCATTCTCTCCATTCCTTGGACCATGCTGCCTCCTTGTTGTATGCGCATAGTGTGTCTGTCTAACTAGAAATGTTCAGTACTTCAAGACTTCAGGGATCCTACATTTCACAAGTGTGGGCACAGACTCCTGTGCCTTAGGTCACATTCTTGGGGAATTTCTGGGGCTGGGAAACTCTTCACATGACTGCCAACATGGTGCCACACTTAGCTAGGCTGGTCCCCTGATGAGAGATGGGTATTCAAATACAAGGCTAGTTCTCAAAGTCTTTCCAGGCTGGCTAGACATTCTGGAGCCCGTGCCCCACTGGAAGAGCCTTGAAGAACCAGAGTCATTGTGGTCATGGGAAGAGGACTTGAGTGGAGGAGATAACTTGGTCTGTAGAAATGTGGATGGTTATTGTTTAAAAAAATCCTCAGGGAGAAGCTCTCTTTTATTTTTGTGTA